ACTTTTCAGAAGCACCGCCGGTCTGCTTGTTGTAGGCCTTCCACAAAGCGTCCAGCTCGGCTAAGCTCTCGCCAACAGTGGACATGACGCTGTGGACGATCTCGCTGATGCCAGCCTTTGATAGCGAAGTGTCGATCTCGGAAGACTGGTTCGGATCTGACCATTCCAAGCCCCAGCTCACGAAGCGGTCTTTTTGGATGCGCAGCCTGCGGAAGAGGATCTTGACCTCGGGGTCCTCGGCATGCTGGATGGGCTCCTTGACGAAGTCGGAGGACTTTTTTGTGTCGTTATACAGACGGCTAAGACGCCGCTGCATGGGCTGCTGAAAGCCGCCCTGGAAACCGATGCCCTCCATGATGGCGGTTGAAACGGGATGACGGGCAGCAAAGAGGGATGCCCCTCACGTGGGGCGGGGTGAGAGACTTGTGTCGATGGGGAGTGAGTGAGTGAGTAAGGTGAGAGTCTGCTAGATGAGATGAATATGCCTCTTCAGTGCCGCCTCGGATATGACATAATCAAGTCGATGCCACAATTGACGGTGAGGCTGAAGTGGCCTTGGTGATGATGAGACGTCGAGGTCGGGGATCGGGACGGTGTGAAGAGTCGGATGCGGGTCGGCTGAGTCGCGCGCGGCGGGGTTACTTTTGTTGGTTGGCGACTGAGAGTGTGACTGCAACTGTGACTGAGTTGCTGGTGCTGCGACCGAGGGTACGTATTTTGCGCGTAAAGTGATTACGCGGCGGGGATGCGATTCGGGTGAGGCTGAGCTGCGACTATTGCAACGACCTAAAATAACCGGCGCGTGTGTAGAGTGATTATTGAAATTATCTCATTGAAGCTCTTTTCGTCTCGTCAAGTCCGTCGTAAATAGAAAATGGTCCAAGTCAATGGAGGATGTGAGAAGAGAAATGAAGAAGAGGTGGTGGTGGTGGTGTCGAAGTTGAAGTCGCGGGACCCTAGGAGGTGATGAATGACGGGAGCCAACAAGCACGGCAGGCATCAGGCGTCTCCAGGTCTGCGGGTGCCGTCGCAGCGGGTAGCTAAGAAGGAATCAGATTATTTCGGTGCCTACGAGACGGATGGTCTTTTACCCTTTTCCCACGCGGGCTGAGAGCCGCAGGTTGCAGGTCCAAGATCCAAGGGCCAGGGAGTGACTGACTGACTTGGGTGCTCCAGTAAGGTACACACACTACTACACTAGGGAGTACAGGGTAAGGACTAGAGATGGCTCCGCCGCCAGAATGCACCAACAGGGACGAGAAGGAAGACCGGGCGGCCCAAGTGGCAGATTGTGGCTTCGATGGTGTCCGCAGAATGCGAGCGAGCGAGGTGTTGAGCGGGTGTCAATCCGAGTCTTTCGAGGTGCAGTGCGGCGCTGAAATGCTGCTGCCTGGAAGACAGACACTAGGCGGCGTGGATGCGCTGCCGCTGTCTGGGGAGGGACGCCTCTCGATTGGACTCGCTTAGCCTCGCTAAATGCTCTGGTTTCGGTCCCGACCCGCATATCTCCTGCCGCTAGCTCCAGAACAAGGTGCTGATTGGCTTGTGGTAATTCTGGAGCCTGGAGGATGGGTCTCTCGGGTCAACCACTCTGGGATGTTGCCATGTTCGCCCGGGTTGCCCGTGGCCAGTGCTTTCCCTTTGGAGTCTTTGGAGACCTCACTCGTCGTGTTGTTGGCAGGCACTGAGGAGCATCTCTTGCCATTTCTCATCAAAAGTGAACCTGGTCTTGCTGAATTCGTCTTGGTCGTTATCGCCTCCAGCAGGCTCCTTCTTTCCATTATGGATACAGGTACAGGTACCTGCTTAGGTAGGCAAGTAGACCCTGTATCCCTCACGTGCCTTGCTTGATGCCTGTGTCTACTCCCGGCTAGCCAACAGCCACCGTCTGGGCAGCCTCATCATGAATGCCATTCAGCTTTCCAGATTCCCATCTACACGACGCCATCACTTCAGCTCATATCTTCCATTCTCGTGATATACTATGCATCCTCAGGGCCTGCCCAATAACCACTCTCTCTTGTATCAGCGTCACCCACCATCGTCGTGTCTGATACGAGATCGGCACGCCCATCTTCGCGAACCCCCAGATACCCACATTCGCGGTGCCCGACATTGGCTTCCAGCAGTAATCGTCCCTGAGTAAGCTGAGGCTCTCTCTAGCGTGCATACCCTGGCTGAGACTCCATCTCATTCGGCATAGCAACAGCGGACCTTCCACTCGCTTCAAAGTACGGTGCATACATCCATAATCACGGAGACCATGTCCGCACCGGTCAATGGCATCACCTTCCGCCTCTGTTCCGCCTGTCTGCGGGCCGCCCACACTGGCAACTTCCTCCAGATCTTGGCAGAGATCCCACAATACTCCAAAGTTCCTTTTCCAAAACACCCCCAGCGCAAATCCTCCCCCTACGCCATGATGCAGTAAGCACCATTCGACCCGAATTCCCCAGTCTGGCTCCGCTCTCTGCCCTCTATTAATGGCAATCCGTCCTTTCAGATCTTTTGCGTTTGGGACTTTGGAGTTCCTCTTACGGCCACACGTAAAGTCCAAAACAAAAGGCAGCCACAGCTGTGGTCCCCTCGGACTCTGTCGCAGAAAGCTCCAGTTATTGTGGCACTTTGGGCACGACCACATGGCGTCGTGCTCCCAGTAACCACCCCACGGCTACCTTCACTGGCGTCCTTTTTTATCTCGGTGCCTAAACACTAAACCTCACAGACTGGAGCCACCCACTTCGTCTCCGACACACCTGCACCACCACACCGCGGCTCCCTTCGTTTCTCCATTCAGGAAAAGAGCCCCATGGACATGGCATGCTTCAAAGCAAGGTTCAATCTGTCAAAGTGGTTCCCGGTACTTATTTGCAAAAGCTCACTTGCCCAGAAACGTCCCTCTCTGTCACCCGGAACAAATGTATGGTGGATAGCGTAATTTTGGTCTCAAGATTGCCAAGTTCTCTTCATAATCACCCCTGACGATGGGGAGGTCTTTGTTGTACTGCCGTTCGAAGTACTCCCTTCAATACTGGGTCGCCGAACATTGCAGCCAGCTTCTACTCATGAAAAGAACTTTGGGTGACCTTGACTCTGAATAGAGGCATCTGACGGTGAGCACGTCAGCACTCTGAGTCAAAATCACCCCCTTTTCCCTCTCCATCGTGGCACTCCTCGCAGGAAAGACATCACCCGGGTCTCGCACTAATTCTGCTGCCTGCTCGGCCTCCAGAGACGGTAGCCACCTCTGCGAGTCGTGATGCGAGCAGACGAATCAATCTGCTCCTTTCGGCCCCCCATCAGGCGCGATTAATGTCAGAAGTCCAAATCACATCATGCCTTGCAAAAAAGCCACATTTACAATGATTGATCCAATATGCAATCCCACATGCACCACCTTGAATCACTCATTGAAGCCCGACAGTGCCCTCGTACACCACCCTGAATCACTCATCCAGCTGCCGGACAATGCGGATCGGCAGCTCCATCACGAAGCTCAATCACAATGGCCCCCAGCTCACGATGATTGACAGCGGAAGCAAAATATGCTTCGAGTCTTGCTTCGTCAACAGCATCGAATCAATGCGCCCCGTAGCATAATCGACGAGCAGTGTCCTGGCAGATCCTCCCGCTTCTAAACCCGTCCCAGGAGCCGCTGCCTCCACGGGCTCCAAGCTGACAATCTCGCTGCCTTGGGTGGATTGACGGTTTTGTCACATCCCCCTGATCAGGGATGGCGATAGTCACCACCTAGAACATCCCCTGTGATACCAGAAGCAGAAATACTGCCGCGGAAGGGGTCAAGCCACGTCTCTGCCCGTGACTGCCGTAGACGCCTTCTTCGCAACATCCTACTGCCATCGTCGGGTTCGAACAGGGCGATCGTATTCGATGCCTGTGTCCCGGGGAAAACCCCCACAGACTAGGCGGCCGACAAAAAACGGACCTCTTGTATCTACCGGTGGGTTAATCACCGAACCCAGCCGAAAAGATGCAAGTCGTATCTGCGGATACGGGCCACTGTATTGAGGTTTCGGGCCGATGCCCTCTTGTCCGAATCTGGACTCCACATCTCTCTCTGCTTGCAAGATGGCACGGCAGGAGTCCGGATAAGCCTCTGTGGTAGGACTTCTGCCGGCCCCGAGGTGACAAGGTTGTAAAGAACCAAGATTGAAGCATCTAAGAAATTGTCGGGCTTGGGAAATGATACAGTGAAGATTGATGCCGCCTTCTCTACCTTAGTCAGCTGGTGCTAGTGCTGGTGTCGGAAAAAAGGGTGCGCGGAACTTCCGTTACCGTGATCGTGGTCGTGGTCGTGGTCGGTGGTCGATGTCGGTGGTATTTTAGGGGTTCTATCAAACAGCACCCCTCACGCGATATACAGCACCCCTAGAACCCAATGCACCCCTCGGTGCACGTCAGTGGGCCCAAGGTTTCTTACATAGTTGAGAAGAAAAAGCGGGAGTCTCCCTCCTAGAGGCCCTCCTCAAGAGCCCTTCTGGCCCCTTCCTATTCCAAAGAGCCCTTCCTGTCTATCAGAGCCCTCATCGCCAGTGCCCTCGCAGCCCGCAGAGCCCTCGCAGCTAGAGTGGCTCTTCAGCCAGAGGGCAAGGCGGGAGCCTTAGCTAGAATGCGGCTTTTTGGCTCACTAGAGTGCACCCAGGGTGCTGTTTATTGCGTTAGGAGTGCTGCTTATTAGGACCCTATTTTGGTGTTTTTAGTGAGATTATGCGTACTGGGAGAGCATGCATCCTGAACTCGGATTCTTGGAAGCAGAGTGTTCCCATCATCACGAAACGATAAGTTGACTAGTTTGTCTTCTTTGTTTTTCTCTCCTTTTTTCCATGTTTCTTGCATAGAAGTCAAATTGGATAGAGACATGGCATCAGGTCCAACATATTTCCAATAGATATCACCAGCTCGCAGTAGAAAGAGCATGCGCCTTATTTAGGCATCAAATAAAATGTCGTAATGTTATGGTTTCTTGACGTGTCAAGACTTTATGCGACTATAACATTTAGCTCGTGAAACCAGTATTCCAGCTGACTGTAATCCTTCTTCTCCAGCCTGTTCTCTTCTTCAACTCTTAATGTTATGCCCAGTCTTTCGGCGCCTCGAACCTCATCTTCAAGAAGTGTTCGCTCTTGGATTTCCTGAAGAACCTCCCGCATTCGGTCGATCCAATATGTTTCAAAGAACGTCGCTAGAGGGTAACCCATCTCGTCGATCTTGCTTTCGAATTCAACAAGTAAATTCTCGAGGAGCGCAAGCTCGTTGTTATCCTCTTCCCGAATTTCTTCTACCTCTTCTTCTTCGACAAGCCTATACCCCCAATCAAAATCGCTGAAGTCGCTGCTATACCTTGCGTACTCCCAGTGGTAGCAGCAAGTGTGACGGATTGGGAGGGCCTTAAAAGTGCATACTCGCAGAAGAATTGACTTTTCGTCTCGCGAAAGGGTCCAGTCTGTTTCGAGGTCCTCGCACAGCCCGATGATTTGGTCCCCGGTCTGTTTCAGTAACGCTTGTGTCATTTGGTCTATTACTGGAAAGCTTTCCAGCGCCACCCTCGACATCACTGTGTAAGGGTGGCAGCCATCTTTCGAACAACCGCATTTGCATGCATCCAGACACGAAGACTTGGAACCGTACCTTCTGAATAACGTGACAAAGTTCGGTGCGTGTTCGAGGGGTGGATGTGACCAACAAAAGGTCTCCGCGGGGCAAAACAACATATGCGCCGTGGTAAACCCGACAGGCCTACCGGGTATTTCGGTCGTCAATTTTGCGCCATGTTCCACCAACCATTTCCTGTAATGTAAAGGGTTTTGGATCATGGCTAAAGGAACTAAGCCGCGAGAATCTGAAACGTCGACTTCTGTGAAACCTCGAGAATAGAATGCGTTCGGCATCCGATATGTCCCGCCGTAAGGTATCCATGGGTGATGATAGATGGATCCGGACGTGTGTGGCTCTTCGCAAACCACCTCTGTGCGCAGACTTGGATGTACATATATCCCTCTAGTATCAAGCGCCTTCAAAACGTTACCTGTGTGTTTATCAAGAATGTTGTTTTCGAGAAGACCGAAACGGTCGATTTCTGCCGGCTTCAAATGACGTAGCGCTTGTGCTTTCAGCTCTTGTCGCCGGTCCGCAAGCTCATCGATGACCATGTCTCGTGCTCTGGCAGATGCTTGTCCTAATTCGTAAACCAATGATGCTCTTTGGGTTGCCCTCGCCAAACACTCGCTGTCAGTTTGCAAAAGAATGCTCACTGCTTGCCCACAGGGACACGTTTCCAAGCACCTGCCATCCCGCGGGCCGCTGCAGATAGCGCCACTGCACTGCAGAGCGCATTCGAGCGCGGAGAGTCGTACGCCTTTATCGTGAGATCGAAGAATCGACTTGCCATATCGATTCAGAACGATCCCTAAGCCTTCAGACCATCCGATGAGATGATACAAGGATAAAAAGCCGAATGCGTCGGCTTCAGACAGGTTCAGAGAGACTTTTTCGTCCAAAGCCTCTAGTAGCCTTGACTTGTTACGGAATAAAATGGCTTCTAAGGGATGGCCGCAATATACTTTGAAATCTTCGCGTTGGTTCTGTGACAATCTCTTTGGGGCGGCTCCTTACCTTGGGCTGCAGTGGTGGAATTCTCGATCCACATTTGATGAAGATTCATGATTTGCAATTGATAGATGCCATCATCCATTAATGATTCCACAGTTTCAGAGTCGAAGGTAATGTCGTGAGGCCGGAGAGCGTCGAGTGTTTGGATCGCTCGCAGATCACTTATATGTTGAACGTACCAACTTCTTTGTGCATTTTGAAAGGCATATCTGGATAATTATGAAAATATTGAACATGGGAGATCTCATCCGGATGTGGGAGTGGAACTCACTCATCGTTCTGGTTCGCCCGGTCCCGTGGAACGCCAATTGTGAGAAGGAATTCGACAAGTTCGTGCCGTTGATTCATCCAGTCCATGTGTGGCATGGATGCCGCATGCAGCAACGTGTCGCCGTTTGTGTTTATTTCGAACGGCGAGGAGGTCCTAGACGTGAAAACTGTCTTCAGAGTATGAACACCTCGCTCAAATATTTTGGTTCGCTCTTCATCAGTCAATCCATATCCTGGCCAGAAGGCCAACAACAAGATGTTCACAACCCGGAACGCGGGGCTGCTTTCACGCATCGGAAAATATGTAATTGCAGGAGATATTCCAAATCCACCGGCCCCGGTAGTGATTGATAGCGAAAGGCCGACAGCTGCCGAAACCAGTCCTCGAAACGCTCTCAATGTAATGCCGGCAGACCAGCTGTTGGTTTCATGTATGTTAAAGACAGCGAAAGGGCATCCAACGACGTGGGCCCTTCTCGTGACTGCCTCTTTCGCAAAGGAAAAGGGTCCGAACGATCGCTTCTGTTGTCGTAGGATACGCCACGGTTTGCAAGTGCAGCGGAACCCTGACCGTATATCTATCTCTTGGCAGACAGGCTCGGTTATGACAGTTTTCGACGAGGCCAGAGAAGATCCCGTTTCTAGGTTAGTTATGTTGTCGCAGATGCACTTCAGTGCACTCGGCTTCGAAACCATGTGTTTCAATGTGCTCGAGGCGCTCGGAGACATCAGATCAGCCATCAACGTCTTCAACTCCATCACGTCTTGCTTGGTCGCATAATCTGGTTCATGAGCCAGTGAGCCGCTCTCGTCAATCTTTCTCTCGATTGCGAGCATGGTAACCTCGGATCTTGACACCGTCTGGAGAACTTGATTGAAGGAGTTCTTCATCTCGAGTGATGCCTCGCTAAGCCAAGTGAGTACTTCGTCATCGGATCCATCATACAATGCTTACATTTCGAATACTTGAAGTGCTGCCTGAAGGGCCTTGATGACGACGTCGAGCCGAGTGACGAGTCGATCCAAACGATCCCTACGAAAGGGGTACAGGAGCCTCTTCTTCTGAATCTTCATCATTTCCCCGACGGATCTGTCGGCGCCAGTCTCGCCTTCGATGCGAACCTTGTTGATGAATTCATCCAACAGTAGCAACTCAGCTTTAGCTGATGCCATGGATTCCTGAAGCGGTGCAGAGCAGATGCCAGGCGCCTGACACCGGTTTTGGAGTGCTTCGATCTGCGCGACGAGCGTTTCCAATGATTTCTGATGACGTATGGTGGATTCTATTTCTTCTCTGCGGCATTGCAGGCCGTCGATGTAGACGTTGAGACCTGAACACACCTGCAGTCCCAGAGAGACCACGCCCACGACTGTCCCCAGAACTTCCGCCATTGTTGGTTTGCGGCCGTTCGCAGAGCCGGTGAATGACCCCCGTGTGATAAATATGGCAGAAACATACAACTCGAGGGGAGAAAGAAGGATTTATTAGAAAAGAGCGCAGATGCCAGACGGCGAATCCGTAAGAGTGCCCACCTTATTCCAGTCAAGATCAGGCTGACGACTAGCGTTCGCGAACGTGTTCACGGGGCTTAGCCATGGGTAGCACAGCCTGCATGCATATGCAAAGGCGACGCTTTCCCGTACAAATCGTGTAGGCGAAAGCTCTCTATTCGCCTACGAACTTCCAGAACGCCTTGCCAAGTCAATCACCCTCCAAAATGAGGCATCGCGTCGGAGAACGGCGGCGCGCAAGCCGCTAGCTAAGCAGCGCTGCCGCAAGTGCAAGCACTTAATCAACCAAGTTAACGCTGTTATCAAAACCTAAGTAAGCATATCTATATCCCTTGATTAAACCGCCTACATTTCCTGTTTCTGCGCGGGTATATCTCCTGTGTATTTAATAACCCCTACCGGAGACAACAGTAGCAGCAGCGAAGACAACGACGATAACGACTGCGACGACAGTAGCGATGATAAAGATGTTAAGGTAGAGTATAGCCAGAGCAAAGGTACTCACTCTGGAACAGGAAGAACAAGCATTCTCAAAAAAAGGTGACGAGAATCAGTGAGACAAATGTGGTTGGACTGCCTGGTTGAAATGGAATTTACTGCGAAGCGCATTAGAGCTCAAACTTGCGGAAGTACCTCAAGTCCGCACGCGACATCTGACTGTTACTACTCGAAGCATGGCAAGACTGATCAAGAAACACCTCACATAGCACCTCACTTCATCCCAGTCCGAGTGCGAAAACTAAAATATTTTGCTTGACCCATCCTGTACATGTACAGACATAACACATAACCATACAGAAAGCGGAAAAAACTTGAACAGAACTGGGCCAGCCGATCACTGTATTCCCAAAGAGACATGACTATTTCCCAACTAAACGCCACCTCGATGCCCTCAGAACTCACCAGCGCTGCCCTGCTTTCCTCCCCTGCTGTAGACACGCTAACAAATAAGGACTCGATTGCTCATCGACTCGGTATTATCGGGCTGGAAGAAACAATCTTGACGGCTTCTACTGGGACTAGACGGTGAACCTGGGGAGCAGGTAGAAATAGAAATCAAGACTTGTCGGCCCCGATGCTTTGAGGCGCGAGGGTATCTGGTACATAAAAGAGTGTGACGCTGCCGACCGTGAGGACCTGCAGCAAGTACTTCGTGTGCTATTACTCATGCAATCGTGTTTTTCGTGGTAGGGGGAGCTGGGGCTTTACAGCTCATCACGGACGTGCTGAACGGTCTCCTTGACGGCATCCGTAACAGCTGAAGCTGCCGAGGATAGAGTAGCAGAGGCCGCGCTGGCGAGACTGGCAGCCTGGGCGGCCTGGGTTGCGTACGCAGCTTGCAAGCGCGCGAGAACGCTCTCCGAGAAGGTGGGCTCCTTGCCGACGAGCAACTCAGAGATGAGCTTGTTGACGTCCTCGTATTGCTTAGCAACTGCGGCAGTAGCCTGAGCGGCGTACTCTCCGGCACCACTGTAGACGTTATCGTACCAGGCAGTCGGCGTGGGCTTGCCGTAGATCTGGATGCTGACTTGGCTGACGACGGCTTCCCAGGAATCTGTGACGCCCTTCTCAATCGCCTGCGCAGCATCCACAACTTCCTGGATGCCTGCAGAAACAGAGTCACTGACGATGGACGCCGCAGCTCCGAACCCGTCGCTGACAGCTGAGGCCACGGCGATGGCTTCCTTCTGGGCGCCAGATGCAACAGCGTCGGCCGAGCGAGTAGCAACGGATGCAACAGACGAGGCAGTGCCGGCAACATCGGTAGGTGTACCAGTAGGAGTGGCGTGGCTCAGAGCAGACCCGGCCGCGGCCAAGAACTCGGAGTATCGAGCATGCGCGACGCCGAGGCCGGCGTAGTAGTTGTATTTGGCTTGCTCAAGGAGTTTTTCGACAGTGGAGGTGGGGGTCGCGGTAGCAAGGCCGAGCGCAATCTTGGCACTCTCGTACTGTTGCTCAGCCCAGAGGCGTCCCTCGTTCAGGCGCTGAGAGGCAAGGGCCTCAACGCTAGCCCAGTCGTACGAAGGAGTGACCTTGGCGGTAGGAGTTCCGTAGATGCCCTTGGACGCGGCCTTGACGGCCTCATCAAACCGAGAGCTGGCAGATGCCATGGCAGCAGCGTAAACACCAGAGGCCGAGGAAAGGACCTTTTCTTGTGCAGGCTTGGGAGTGCCGTAGATCTTGGCGGATACAGCGGCCTTGGCGGAGGAGTACTGCTCAGAAGCCTGAGAGACGGCGTTGGAGTAGGCCTCCTGAGCCCGAGAAGAGATGCTCTCAGCATCTACATCCTGATCCAGGATGGGGCCCTTGCTGGAAACAGACTGGGCCATGGCACCGAGGAAAGCAGGCTTGACTGATTCGGTCTCGGCGGTGACGGGCTTGTCTTCGACAGACTCGGGAATAATCTCCTCTTCGAGCTTCTTGCCCGGAACTGCCTCGTCTTCGTCGCCAGCAGACGACATACCGGAGCCGTCAACAATGATGGTTTGGTCCTCGCCCGGAAGCACAGTGGAAGCAAGATCGGGGTGAGACTCGGTGCTGGATGAGCTGGAGGCTACGACACTGGATGCCTCGCTGGAGACCTGGCTGGCAGCGCTGCTGATGGACTCAGATGCCGCAGACGTGGCACTGCTGATACTCTCGCTGACTTCGCTGGCGGCACTGCTGACGGAGCTGGCCGCACCACCGGAGCCGAGGTCACTGGCGGGGGATTCGTCCTCGATCACACTGGCGGCAGACTCAAGGGGATCCTCTTCAGGGGCCGACGTAGCAGAAGATGCGGCCTCTCCAGCACGGCGCTCTGCCTCCTCGGCAGCAAGACGGGTGGCCTCGCTGTCGAAGTTGTCGGACGTGTCACGAGCGGCGAGCTTCCAGAGACCGACCTGCTTCAGCCTAGCAAGTTCTTGGGCGGCAGACTGAGCGACCGCCATGCCAGAGTCTTCAACCTCATTGGATGCCTCACGAGCTTCCTCGAGGCCAGGGTGAGAGATGATCAGCTTCTTCAAGTCACTCATCCAGTCGGCAAAGCGATCCTTCAACTCGTGAAACTTGGCCCAGTCCTTGTAGGTGATGCCGTCCATCCACGCCCACTTCATTCCAATCTTCTGGAGTGCCAGATCTCTAATGCTGTCGAGAATCTTGAAATGGCTGTCGGCGGCTTCGGTAACAGCGGCCTCGATCTCAGCCTCGTAATCGTCCTTCCACGAGCGGATCTTTTGGGCCTTTTCCTTGATAGCAAGCCCGGCCTTTCGTACGGCGACAGCCAGGTCGTCTTGCGCCGCGACAGGCGCGTCAACGGACTTGTGGACGATCTTGATAATTTGCTTTTGCAGAGTAGCAACCTCGGCCTTTGCGGCCTCCTGTAGCTCAGTGACAAGTGCCTTGCCCTTGATGTGCGCGTTCTCCTTGATGGCGCGCTGGGAAATCGCCTCAACCTGATCTTCGAGTTCTCTGGCGCCCTCATCGGCGGCCTTGGCGAACTTGTCCTGCCAGCTGCGGAGGTCCTCCTCAACGGTCTCGCGGGCGGTCTTGCGAATGTCGGACTCGCCCTCAGAAGCGGGGGGTGCAACAACCTGCTGGGCCTTGTCTTCGGCAGCCTTCACGACTTCCTCTGCTACCTGGGATGCATCAGGGATAGGTGTGCTCTCGACCTTGGTGGAGATCTTCTGGCTGGCAACCGAGGATGCCGAGGACGCGGATGACGAGGCGGAAGAGATGGGCTTCGTGAAAGAGGAAGCCTGGGCGGTGGCACTGGTAGTTGGTCAGCATTTCCCGATGCATCTCTCCGTGTGCTTCCGATTCTTACCTCTCAGAGACATTCTCGAGCGACCCCTTGGTCTTGTTCTTATAGCGACCAAGACGCTGTCCGATCCTAGCCAGCTGGGGCTCGACGTTCTCAACGTACAGCACGCGGACCTGGGGCCAGACGGTGGCGTCGAGGAAGAGATAGGTCTTGTTCCATGCCCAGTAGGCAGTGGGGATTGCGGTCTCGGTGGTGAACTGGGACGCCACATCGTAACCCTGGGCGGCGTACGGCTCGACGAACTTGTACGATGGGAGAAGAACATCGTGGTAGGTCTGCAGGGCGTTGGTGCGCGCAATGTCGTAGTACGGCCCTACGGCAGCGGACGCCTTGGCGACATGAGGAGCGATGGTCTGGTCGTACTTATCCTGGGCCTGCTTCTGGTAGACAGCCAGCTGGGGCTGGATGTTCTTGTCCCACTGGGCCTGTCCGTAGGCCTGGGCCTGCAGGACGCGGGGAGCACCATGCTTGGAGATGTAGGCCTTGGCCGGGACGAGGGCGCGCTCGTTCGCGATGTTGTAGTAGGGAGTCGCCTTCTCGATGTAGGGAGCGGCGTAGGTCTCGTAGTAGGGCTCGAGGTGGGGAGATACGGCGTGTTTCAGTTGGAAGTAAGGCTTGCAAATCTTGGGCGAGGTCTCATCGCAGGCATCGAGAGTCGCAGGGCAGCGGAAGAGAATTGAGATGATGGAATACCAAGTCAGGATCCTATCGCAGGCAAGAGTCAGTTGAGAATTGAGGCTCTGGCGATGCTCCATCCAGCTGCAGGATCACCATGACGACAGCGGGGACAGATGCACAAACAAATGCACGAGGTGGCTACATACCTAGCAGCAATGCTGAAAGAGCGACCGATAAAGGTCTTGCCCTGCTTTGGGGGAGTTCTCCTCTTGACAACAGCGTGACCATTCATCTTGCCGTTTATCTTGCCATTCGGGGCTTTGGGAAAGCCGTTGGAGTAGCTGGAAGCCTCCATGGTGGAGGAAGTGTGGTCTGGAAAACCAGGCGGCTCGCACGGGCTCGGGGGCACAGGCGCAGGCGTGACGTGATCCGAATTTGCGACTCGTGCTTTTGCTTTGGGTCTGCAGCTGGGAGGCAGTCAAGGGCACGCGTCTGGGTTGGTGCAGTCCTCAAAGCTGCATGAGAAAACAGAAGATTAGCAGATGTTTGGAGGAAGAGAGGAAAATTCTAGGTCAAGATGAATTGAGGGTGAGGATAAGGTCGAGGCAAGGGGAAGGAAAAAAAAAGGACAAAAAAAGATAAGGCCCGGTTGTGCCGTGACAGGAGCTCTGACGATTTTCAGATGTCCCCCCCAGTCCTCAGTCCTTCGCCATGGGCTAGACTCAGAACAAGATGACGGGAGCTTGCAGTTCGCCTCGGGGTGCAGCCAGGAGCTGCGTTTGCTGAAGCTGCAGGGGTTGCCTCTGTCGTTGGACCACGGGCAGAGCCACTCGACTCGGGGAAGGGAACCTGAAGGGTCTGTTTGGGAGGGGTTCTTGGGGTGGCTCTTGGAGTTCAGAGGCTGGACTGTGGAGCTAGGAGCTCATGATCTACCTTCAGAATGGCGATAGTTTTGCTTCAGGACGCCAGGAACGGATGGCGGACGGAGAACGGCAGCGGGGGGCCTGCTTGTGGTGGTTTGTGGAAAGAAAACACGAGAAACTCTCAGTGATCTGGTGATGAAGAGGGAAGAAACACGAAAAGTGCAGACCGTGATGCAGAGAAAGGTGTCGGTAGCTTCCTGTTGTTGCACCTTGTCTTCTTCCTTCCCTCCTTCTGCCTTAGCTCCTGCTGTTGACCTCACTCACCTTCCCCAGGCGCGCCTCCTTCCCATTTTTCTGGGCCAAGTTTCCCGGCTTTTCTGCCTGCTGCGACCTGCCACCCCCAGCATCACAGCTCCCCCGAGTGACACACGGACCATTTGGAAGTAGTTGCTTGGTGTAGTGCCACTACAAACGGTACATCTTGGCATCTGGCTTACATAAGTGAGACGTTGCGCTTTAGCGCCCTCCTTAGCCTGCTGGGCCGTCTGAGCAGCGCTGAACGACAATGTCTCACCAACGTCATGGGCTTCAAGCTTGTCTGTCCCTCGCTCTGCCATCCCACCATCCACCATCAACCATCCCACCATCCAGCCATGCTTGACCAACCACACGTCGCCATCGAGATCAGTTCTGTCTGTATCACTCTCGGATTGACGCGTGCCCCCGTCCGTCTCTCGCCCTCGTCCAGTCCGCTCCTTCGTTAATGATGCATCTCGCCAGCGTTCTCCCGGCCACCGCTCTCACTTCCATGCGCGTTGCCATCCATCCCATGTCGTCGCAATATCTCCGCATCGACCGAGACCGTTCAACCCTGTTGAGGGAGGCACGGACGGGCCTGGACGATTGGCAGAATGGCTAGGAAACGAGCCACAAGCTCCCCGAAACACTCAACCTGCTCGGACGAGGGGTCCAGCCAAGTGGGCCTCGACGACGTCCTAGTGATGCAGCATTGCATCGTTTGGCATGCAAGTGTGGCTCATCAGCAAACCAGCTAGCTGGACCTCGGGGCATGCAGCCGACGCCATGCCTGTGGTCTTCTTGGTCGGCATAAACATCTGGACCGGCCCATGTGATGACGATACCTATTGCTTTTGTTGATGTTGGCCCCTGGATGTCTGCCGATAGGAGCATGGCCAAAGCATGTTGCTGACGTACTGAGGAGCGACGAACATCGGATTAACAATCTTCAATGCTCCTTGTGCTTGTGCTTGTGCTTGAAGCAGAATGGCACGACGGGAGCTGGGCTTGACATGTGCCGCCTGTCAACCCAGTGGCTAACCGTTGTAGTCTCTGCACTCCGACCGCATCTCCATATCATTGGCATGAATATCGGGGTGTGAGAGACTGACAAAGTCAACTTGACTCTTTATATCCATCATCTTACTACCATCGTCGACGGTCTCTCTGAAGATCAAGCACATCTGCGATGCATTGATCGAAGCAGCTGCCAGCTGGATGGAGCTGCCAACAAGCTCCTGCAGGCGTCTGCCACCTGGCGGGTAAACGACCAGCCAATATGTTTGCAGCTAACAACAGTAACGGCCCTCAAGCGTTGTAAAGATGATTGAATGTCTCTTAGGCCAGGAAGTATAGCTAATTTAGGAACGACGGTTCAAAGTGAATGGCCGGCCCCCTTACATGATGCCGCAAAGAAACTAACCTGAGTGCGACAAGCCTAGACGCAACTTCCACTGAATGCAATCCTCAAAAGCAGTAGACGTAGGATTCCTGGCGAAAGAGTAGCAATGAGAAAAAGTCCGGTTTGTCCCAACCAGTTCGAAAATATCACAAAGACGCTCTTTCGAGGTAAATACATCGAGTTGGGCAGACCACTACCTTGACGTTGCAACTAGTTGGAAGTATTCGTACACTTCCAGCATGTCTGTCACGTGCTGCTTGCCAGGAGGCGTGGCACCGGAGCGGAGCTTCCATACCTCCGAACCCTGAAGTGGGGCCAATCCAATCCCACCATTGTCCCGGACCCCTGCTCGGGCCGTGCTGATGGGAGTCGGCTCCTCAGTGAATGCGCCCAGTAAGAGGTCCTGTCACAGCTGAGGAAGGCACGAGGTGGACCCGCCAGCAAGGGCCTTTTGCACCGAATGTGAAATCCAACCACAGTGCCACTTGCTGGACCTGGCCCAGAACTTGGACCTGAACCTTCGACCCTCATTGTCTCTAGCGCAAGGGATCTATCTCGGTTGCTTAATTCCATCCGCTGCCACCACGACTACCACCTGCCTGGGTATTCGGGAACGGCTTCCTTTTTTGAGAGGTTTAGATTGACGATTTCATGATACCCATTCTTCCGTCTTCATTACTTTACGACTGGACCAGACCAGCTTATCCTCCCACTACCTAGGGTAGCTCGACATACCGCTACCTGTTCAAATCCATCCCACCGTCCAACGAATTCCGCTTCAATTCCGTCACCACCGAAAAGCCTTTACGTGTCCACCCCCCTTCCCGACTCGATTCGCCGCCCTCGACGATTCACCGGCGTTCGCTCGAGACACACGGTCGGGCCAGAGATACCCATGCGTTCCTAACGATCCTGTCTCTCTCTCCAGGGCTCCAGTCCCCGTCGTTGTCGACGACAATCCGATCGATATGGAAGACCCCGCGATGGAGCCTCTTATGGCTGCCGATGCTGTCGCCCACTCCCGCCGCCGCTTCTCGGCCTCAAAGTCCTCCTCCAACATCTTCGACAATGTTAAACCCCGCCCACAGACCAGCGATGCTGGCGCACTCGATCCCGATACCTGCCGTATATGCAGAGGCGAAGCGACCGCCGAGGAACCGCTGTTCTACCCGTGCAAATGCAGCGGCAGCATCAAGTACGTCCACCAGGACTGCCTGATGGAGTGGCTGTCGCATTCTCAGAAGAAGCACTGCGAGCTCTGCAAGACGCCCTTCCGCTTCACGAAGCTCTACTCGCCCAAGATGCCCAAGACCCTGCCGGCCCACGTCTTCGTCGGCCACATGGCCAAGTACCTCTTCAGGAACGTCCTGGTCTGGCTGCGAGCTGCCCTGGTCATTAGTGTCTGGCTTTGCTGGTTGCCTTACCTCATGCGCTCCGTCTGGGCGTTTCTCTTCTGGGTCAGCGACGAGGGATTGGGAAGCGGCGCTCTGTGGAATAGCTCGAATGCAACCGTTAGCAAAGGCGTATCCGTAGCCTTCTCCGTCGCTTCCTCCAACGTTTGCCCGGCATCGCCCCTCCTTGAACCCACGACCACGCCCGCAAACCTGGGAGGAATGTTGAAAGATATGATTCAGGGTCAGGAACTGCCTTTCAGCCGCTCCTTCCACGGCGTCAACATTACCACCAACGATTCCGTCTCGGCTGCCCTTCTCAGAATGCTGCTTGGGTCCATCACGTCCTCGGGATCTGGAAATTCCACTTCTGCGGCGGCCGGGGGCAGCGATCCCGTCCTAGACCGCCACCCGTCGCTCTTGAGCGGTGTTGGCTGGTTGCGCAACTTGACCCGGTACCCGGTCGTCAACAGAACCGTCATCGGTGTGCTGGAAGGCCAGATCATCACCATCCTGGTCATCATCTCCTTCATTCTGGTTATTCTTGTGCGCGACTACGTCGTGCAGCAACAGCCAGAGATCAACATGAGAGCCGCCTTCGCAGCTAATGAGAACCAGCAGGCACAAGCCCCGCATCAGCATCAAGAGCATCAAAATGAACATGAACATGATCATGGCCATGACCATGACCACGCCCATCTTGAACACGACGCTGGAGACTTCGACTTCGACCAACATGGCCATCACGAGAGTGACGACGACGATTTTGGCTCAATGGCCGGGGCTCACTACGGATCAGAGGATGAAATGCCTCCTATGACATGGGAAGAGCAGGAGCCGAACGGAGAGCCTGCAGAGCCCGCCGCACCACAACCTCTGGGAGGATTTCGCCCTCGTGCGTATGACAGCGCTGAGCCTGATTTCAACTTCAACACGCCGCCCCAGGCTGCCCCAAACAAGGACTCGCAGACGCCCGTAGCTACTGTCCACGAGTATTTGCGGATTTACCGGCAAGCAGGCGGCGATCCAGAAAAGATTCTAAAAATCATTGAAGAAGAGGACCTTGATGACACTCTTGGGTACTGGGCTAGGATTACGCGATCCATGATTGACAAGAACAATAAGGATGCTGGCGCAGGCCAGTCAAAGAACGAAGCTGGATCAGACGGACCCTCAAATCCCAAAGAAACACAAGCGTCTCCGCAGCCCCCAGTTCAACTACCCGCGCCGTCGACGCCTCAATTTTCCTGGCCGCCTAACCCCCCAGCTGAGAGCAGCACGAACGGAGATGCTAAGGGAAAAGGAAAAGAGGTTCAAGAAGACACTCAGCAGTTCCGCTTCGGCGACGAAGCGAACACCGCACGTTCGACTTCTTTCCAGAGCCCTCTACGACCCCGAGCTGTCTCGGACGGCCCTCAGCGCAATGAGACTATCAACCCGCTTGCAAATAACAGTTGGTCCTTTTCAAACATCAACACGGAAACGCCGGCCCAGCCCCATGAGCCATCACCCATTCCCCGCGCGGCGCCTCAACCTCGCCAGTACGACTTCTTGGGATCTGCAACTCCGCCCCTGAGCACCTCGGCTGAATATGGCTCTGATAAGGACACTGGCTTTGAGCGCATTCACACTCCTCAGGACAACGCTTCTTTCGAGGGCCCCGAGCTTGGACCACAGGCGGCAGACTTTATCGGACCTCAACAAGACAGTGGAGTTATTGAAGACATTGTCGATGCTCATGGCGAGATCCAAGAAACCGAGGACGGCCGAGTTCCCCAGCGCCCGCCACTGCAGCGAGGCGTCATGGATCGCGTTGCTGATTTCATGTGGGGCGACATTGAACCCCGAGAGTTGGACATCGGACGGGAGGGAGATGAGGCTGCTCATGAGCATGGCGACGACACCGACGAAGATGACTTTGACGACCTGGATGACGACGATGATGACGCAGTGGAGCAAGACCGCGAGGTTGTTGAAGCTGCCGTTGCCGCTGGACTAGACCCCGAAGCAATTGATGACGCCGAGGACTTTGAGGGTATCATGGAGTTGATCGGCATGCGAGGTCCTATCGCCGGGCTGTTCCAAAACGCCATCTTCTGCGTCGTTCTTGTTTCAGTCACCATCTTTGTCTGCGTTTTCTTGCCTTACAACCTGGGCCGAGTCAGCGTGTGGGCAGCCATGAACCCGATGCGCCTGGTCCGTATGCTGTTCAGCCTGACTAAGTTCATCCAAGATCTCGCCGTTGGTATCATGACTGGCATCTCCAGCTTGGTTCTCTTCTTCGCCTACACCACTGGCAGAATGATGGGTTTCCCGGCTAATAACGGCGTCGGTGCGCTATCCATGAAGACCTTCAATTTGTTTACCAGCGCATCCATGCGAGTCCTGGAAAGCATTACCGGCGAACTGCCTCTCATCTCGACCACCGAAATGCAAAATTTCTCCGCTATCAGCCACGAAGCGCTATTGAATCTCAAGGCGTGCCTTTCCGGTTCTCTGGCTTCTATTGGCGATGTGCTCAACTCTATTTTCGACCGCGACCTGATCACAAATGCAAAGTACATGGGGTCACTTTCGGCCAACGCAACCATGTATGCTTGGAATGCCGCGCAGGACCTCCCTATCAGCATTCTCAACCCCGGATCATGGGTGATCAGCTTCAGCGTGCCCGAGCTTTCTACCTCCGTTAACCCTGCCCTCTCGTACTGGTCAGGAACCGACCGTTTCTGGGCCATCCTATGCGGTTACTTTACGTTCTCGGCTATCAGCGCCCTCTATCTCCGGAGAGGTTCGCCATTCTCCACCGGGCAGACAGGACAAGAATGGGAAGCCTCGTTGATCGACCTGCTGAACCAGGCCAGCGGCGTGATGAAGGTCATTCTCATCATCAGCATCGAGATGCTCATTTTCCCGCTGTACTGTGGCCTCCTACTGGATGTCGCATTACTCCCGCTCTTTGAGGATACCACTTTGAAATCTCGTGTCGCCTTCACGATAAACTACCCACTCACCTCCATCTTCGTCCACTGGTTCGTAGGCACAGGGTACATGTTCCACTTTGCGCTGTTCGTCTCTATGTGTCGCAAGATCATGCGTAAAGGTGTCCTTTGTAAGTTGTCCTTCGTGCGGTAGGCTTGGCTCTTGCTAACATTCATAGACTTCATCCGCGACCCAGACGACCCAGAGTTCCATCCTGTCCGCGACGTGCTGGAACGCAATGTTATGACACAGCTGCGAAAGATTCTGTTTTCCGCATTTGTGTACGGAGCTTTGGTCATTGTCTGCCTTGGCGGGGTTGTCTGGGGCTTGTCCCTCACGCTCCCCAACGTTTTGCCGATCCATTACTCGTCCAACGAGCCAGTACTCGAGTTCCCCATCGATCTGCTCTTCTACAACTTTGCTATGCCCTTGGCTGTCAAGTTCTTCAAACCTAGCGACGGCCTGCATGCGATGTACACCTGGTGGTTCCGCAAATGCGCCAGAGGTCTCCGCCTGACCTGGTTCCTCTTTGGTGAACGACGCATCGATGAGGAAGGTATTCTGGCTCTGCGACCTGGTTCGGAGCACGACGCTCTGCCGTGGTGGAGGCGCCTGTTCCTCGAAGTCAACAAGCAGAACAAGGTCGTGCCGAAGACTTGGGAGGACACTTTTGAGGGCGGCACAGCCAAGCCGGTGTCGTCCATCGCAAATGACCAGATGATGATTATGACCCTGAAGAAGGCTCGCCTTGTGGACTCCGGACAGCTTATCGAGGATGGGTGCTTCGTGCGCACGCCCGCCTCGGACCAAGTAAAGATTCCCAAGGGAAGACGCGTATTTATGCCGGTTACTGAAGCCAACACCCGGCTGGACGGCAAAGATGACTCTCCCGACACCGATCTTTATTCTACAGACCAGTACCAGCCGGTTTATATCCCTCCGCATTTCCGAGTCCGCGTCTTCCTATTCATCATGTTCATCTGGATCTTCGCTGCTGTCACGGGTGTTAGTTTCACGATCGTCCCGCTCGTGTTCGGCCGCAAGATGTTCAAGGTTCTTATTCCCGCGCACATCAGGACCAACGACATTTACGCTTTCAGCATTGGCATCTACATCCTTGGTTCGCTGGCCTACTTCTTGTTCCATGCCAGATCCCTCTTTAAGAGAATGACCGCTTGGGCTTCAGCCGCTTTGCAGACCGTGTGGCATAGTGATGCTCCGATGAGATTTGCGCTTGTCGGAATCCAGGCCGCCAAACTCGTTTACACATACACCGTTCTTCTGGTCGTTTTCCCGCTTATCCTCACCGCCCTCATGGAGCTATACTGCCTTATACCTCTCCATACTTACATGTATCCCCCTACCCCCTATGTCGTTGAAGCGAATAGTGGGGGCCAGTTCAAGGATGGAATCGTCGTGCCGAATCATCACACTGCGAGAGTTATTCAATCTTGGACCTTGGGTCTGCTGTACGTCAAGCTTGGCGCTCGCGCCATCACAAGTTTGTACGAGGGTACGCGCATGGCCCAGGCTGTTCGTGCTGTCCTTCGACGCGGCTGGCTCCAGCCTGACGTGCTCATCCTCACCCGGGCGTTCGTCGTTCCCGGAGTTCTCATCGGCGGCCTAGCCATCTTTGGACCTCCATACGCAGTCGGCTGGATGCAGTCTCACGGCGCGCTCGGAACACCCCTACCGGCCCCTCACGAACTCAAGGTGTTTTACAGACTGTCGTATCCTGCCGCGGCATTCAGCGCTCTGGCTTTAATGGCATTCTGGAGTGTCGTTGGCGTGTTCAACAACTGGAAGGCACGTATCAGAGATGAGGCGTATCTTATCGGGGAGAGACTGCATAACTTTGGAGTCGGTGCAGCCGGTGCGGCGGGCGCCCGCGGACCTTGGAGAGTCAGGGGCAGGTTGTGATGTTGCGGCTTGCTACTAGACGGGCTTGATCGGCCCGAGCATGAATATAGATGATAACATTGGGTCTCGGCGAATGGCGTCGTTTCTTGTACGCTGTACCATAAGTAGGGTGTATGCCTTTTATACTAAACTACTCCGTTCATACAATTGTCGCAGTGGAACCGGTGACTTGTGATGGTGCTCCCATGGCTCTCAAATCATAATCAATATTTCGCAATGCCACGCTTGATGAAGAGAAATAATTGATTGCTTGTCATTATTCATTGCAGTCTAACATGAAACCCGACCAGGCTTGCTTCACAGTTACCAGTGCTTCCCATCTCATATCATACACATTCCCCCTTCAGCCACATTCACAGCATGCCCACTTAGAAGAACAAGGCCGCGCCGCCAACAGCAGCAACCAACGAGACCAAGAGGCTTGCGCCCGCGCCCGCGCCGAGCAGACCGGCAGTCGCGCCGGGTGCGGCGTTGGGCGTGCTCGAGCTCGAGGCGGCGGGGCTTCCGGATGCCGAGGTGGACGGTGACGTGCTGCTTGACGCGCCGCCGCCGTTGACCAGGGCCGTGAGGGAGGGGTCGGAGGAGAAGTCGACGGTGATGGAGGCGTTTTTGCAGTCGGAGTTTGTGGCGGCGGTGCCTGTGACGAAGTTTACGGCGGCGCACTGGGAGACTTTCAGTCAGCGGGCTGTTTGTCAAGTCTCCTCCTTTCATCAATTGGAGGACTTACAGAGTAGAGCAGCCCGTCAGGCGAGTGCGCAACAACACCGAGCACGCCCTTCTTGCCGGCGTACTCGGCGGGGACGGCGATCTGCGGCTCGCAGAAGTTGCCGAGGCCGGTCTGCAGGACGATGGGAAAGACCTGGGTCCAGTTGCCGGACGCGGTCTGGTCGAGGGTCGCGCGGAAGAGCCAGGTGGTCTGCGGGTGCCCGTTGGACATGCCGACGGCGTCGCCGGCGACGTGGAAGTCGGTGGTCGCGGAGGAGGCGGAGGCGGAGTAGCCGCCGCAGGGGGCGGTGCCTTGGTTGTCGTCGCTGTCGCCGAGGGGCTTGGGAAGGGTGAGAGAGAAGTGGGCGAGGGCGGGGGTGGAGAGGAGGAGGAGGGGGAGGAGGCGGGTCATTTTGGCGGTTGGTGATGGGTTTCTTGGTGGTGAGTGTTTGGTTGTTGGTTTATGAAGGTGAGGGAGGTGAGTGTGGACGGCCGAAGGAGAAGTAAGCGGAGGAAGGTTTGGTGATGGGGTGAGAAGCTTTAAGAGGGAGGTCGAGTGAGTGGTCAATGGTTGGGAGGAATAACTACCCGAGCAACGGCTCTCATAAGGCTAGCTTGGCCCGCTAGAATAGGTTTAGGTGTAGGATGTGGAAGCTCTTGAGCTTGCCTTTTCATCTATATGACACGGGGTTGTTTCCGTGTCACTGGCAAGCTAAACTACCTATACCGCAGGGCAAATATTGCCGAGTTGGAGCCGCGACGGCAAACTGCCTACTTCATCTAGCACACGCATGCCGACGTCAAGGTAAAGCGACCATGCTTCTAGTGGCCCGCTCTATATCCGTTCGACTGACAGCTGGTCACGATCCCATAGCAGTGAGCAAACTACGACCTCGCTGTTTTCGGGACTCGGCACGGGCAAGAGCAGCAAGACTTAGCTTAGCTTGGAAGGTGTTCTGGGTACCTCGTTCATTCTGTGGGTTGGCGTGGAGGCGACTGAGGAGGAGCGCAGAGGCATGGTGAGAGAAACTTGCTCACTGCGGTCCAGATGCCCCAATACGCTAGCTTTTGAGCCTTTCATGGTTGCATGCGCCGGACCCCTGGAGATGCAGGCACCGGCAGGATGTCCATCGCCCCAAAGTGTTCGGGGGTTGGGCATGGGGACTGTTGAATTTCGGAACCTGGAGAACCGATGAGGCTCACGATTTACTCTTCAAATAAGCATGTTTTCTTTTCTGCTTCGTCTCGAGTTCCACCACGAGAGGGGGGACCCTTCAAACGTGGGGAGGATAACGACATCAGGAAGGTTGTTGTGGTTTGGGTTTCGCTGGACGAGGATGTTGGTTTAACCTTGGTCGGGTTAGCTCCAGATGCGAGCAGGGGCTCCGTTGGCTTCGGGGGCGGGAGGTTGGCCAATCACAGACACGGAATTTGGATGTCACTGAGAGGTTTTGAGCAAATTGTGGCGTTTGCGCGGGTTTGATCTGGGGGACCCCTGTCTTCTTGTTTGGATAAGGCTCGAGGGCGCGGATGCATCTCAGTCATCTCTTGTGAGCATGTTCACAGTAGAATGGCCGTTGGATGGAATCTTCTTGTCTGGCCTAGATATGTGTGAAATGGTATTGAAGATTGAGGAAAAGGAGATAAGGAGGCTCACATGAGGAGGAAGATGTGAATAGCCGATGAAGCGTGTGTTGTTGTTTGGCCGTGGTTTGGTGTAAGTGTCACAAGGTGACAGGCCGGCCCATCGAGTCAACCGTTCGCCCCGAGTCAAGGGGACAGGGCTCGAGGTGACAGGAAACAAAACCGAAGGCGAAGGAGAAACAAAAAAGACAAAATGCGAAAACGGGGAAGAAGATCCGATGTTTGTGGTTGACTGGCAAGGTGGTGCCGAAGACAGGCCATTCCTGTCGTGTTGCGAACCTTGTCATCGCACATGAAGAATCGCTCAGAGTGAAGTGTGTGTCTGGACGGCCGGCGCTAGTGACGGATGGCCGCCCATGCTTGCGCATCTGTGCCGCTGCTATCTTTCCTCTCTTGACATGAAGGCCTTTTTTTGGACTTGTAATCATGTGTGGCGCGCCCAGGTGTGAGAATTCTTGAACTTGCTCAATCCGCCTCATTCTTACAACTCTTTCGCCTCCTCAAACGTTGGCATCGCCGGATCCTGAGATCCGAGAGGCGCATTATATCATTTTCGGGCTTGGTATTGAGGAAGCAAGAGGCCTGTCTGACCGAAATGATTTCGCGGCGTCTGGGTCTTGTGTAACGGCTGTTCGGTCCTTTCTTGCGACACCTTCATCTTTGCGGCGGCCCTGCGATATTTCGATCACAAACACCGGATACCCTGGGTTACTGAGAGAGAGCGTCGATCGTAGGAAGTCTGCCGATTACGACTTCTGGCATCCGCGACCATCCAGCGACACTAATTCGACATCAGAGGCCATCGCGATGAGCCACGACCATGGAGGAAGCAGTAGCGGGGGAAACATGGGGGGAATGACGATGGGAACCGCCCTCTTCCAGGACACAAATGTCCAGCTTGCCAAGTCATTCTGGTACATTATCGCCGGTGTCGTCGGGTTCTTGGGCATCATCCGCGGTGTCAACTACCTCGAAGGCCGCAGACGGTACAAACCTCACCCTTCACCGCGCGATCACCAGGAAGCAAAGCTGACTGCCCACAGACTGAAACGATGCCGATCTGAATCGGTCCAATTCCCAACACGACCGACGAACCACATAACACAAATATGGGCAACCGCGACGGCCCTCGTTCGCGAAGCAGGCCATCCGCAGCTTTACATCCCCATCAAGGGCCTCCGCTGGGCCACGCCGCCGCCCCTCGGCCGCGTCCTCATCCTTCTGGCCTACTGGGCCGTCATCATCTACATGATGGCCGCCGACGCCGTCGTCAAGGACGCGTACTTCTGGGAGCGCATCGGGTTCCGCAACGCGTGGGTCACCATCATGCAGATGCCGCTCGTCTACCTGCTGTCGATGAAGGTGAGCGTCGTCGGGCTCATCACGGGCACGTCGCACGAGCGGCTGAACTGGCTGCACCGATGGGTCGCGCGGACGATGTTCGTCACGGCGACGGTGCATGGGTTTCATTTCTGGACGGAGTGGGTGAGGGCGGATTTTGTCGAGACGCAGCTGAAGATCATGCCGTATATCAAGCATGGCATGGGCGCGTGGGGGTTGTTGGTGTGGGCTTTCGTGAGCGGGATGAAGCCGGTCCGAGGGATGGCGTATGAGGTGTTTGTGGTGCAGCATGTGCTCTCGGCGGTGATTTTCATCTGGCTGGTGTATGTGCACATACCGGTGTACGCGAGGCAGTATCTGTGGTTTACCGTGGCGCTCATCTGCTTCGATCGGCTGGCAAGGTGGGCGCTGCTCGCGTGGCAGAACACAAGGCCAAGGTTAAGCAGGTCGTTATCATCTTCGTCATGTAAAGGGATGAAGAGGCTAGGGCACGAAGTTCAGGTCCGGGCCGTGGGCTCGTCGACGACGGTGCTGACGATCAAGGATGTGCACTTTTCATGGAAGGCCGGCCAGCACCTATATCTCTGGCTGCCCCGCGTCGGACCGTTCGAGGCGCACCCGTACACCATCGCCTGCGCGCACCAGCTGCCGGAGACGTGCATCTGCAACAGCATCCAGCTCGTCGTCCGCTCGCACGGGGGCTTCTCGCGGCGGCTGCACAAGTTCGCGGAGCGCATGGCCGGGTCCGGGGGGAGGAAGGACACGCTGACGGGTTTCGTGCTGGGGCCGTTCGGGGCGCCGCCGCGGTGGGACATGTACGAGACGATGGTGCTCATCTCGGCGTCCACGGGGGCGTCGTTCACGCTGCCGATCCTGGAGAGCGTTGTGCAGAGCCGGCGGAGGATCTGCACGACAAGGGTGGACTTTATCCTGATGGCGCGCCAGGGCGAGGAGATTGAGTTTTACACGCAGAGGCTACGGGAGGCGATGGATCGGGCGCAGGATGTCGGGGTGGAGGTGCGGGTGCATGTTGCCATCACGAGATCTGGGAAGGCGAGGGAGGGGGAGATGACGACGGTGTTGTACTCGGATCGCGACACGAGTTCGGGGTCATCGGCACAGCATCGGCGGATCGCTTCGGACGGGTCGGAGGATGGCGGGGGCTATCAGGAGAAGGGGGTGATGGACGTTGAAAAGGGGGGTGCTGGTGTGCCCCTGACGCCGAGGCGGAGCGGGTCAACGATGGGTATGGTGAAGGAGTATTACAGCCGGCCGGATTTGAAGGAGCTGATTCGAGATCCCGTCGAGGCGGCAGGCGGGGAGACGTCTGTGGTGGTATGTGGTGGGCAGTCGTTGACCAGTTCCGTGAGGAATTGCGTTGCTGCGTTGTCTGATGAGAGGGCGGTCCATAAAGGGACCGGGGCGCAGGGGATTCATCTGTTTGTTGAGGAATACTCGTTTTAATGTAGACATGAGTGATATGAATATTGCATCAAGTTTGACTGCCTTTTGCAGTAATGAATTACCCTGTTAAAGTGGTGAGATAGATGTGCGTCTCAAGGCCCCCTCACCTATGGAAAGCATGCGTATGCCCAAGCTTTCCGATATGATATTGTACCGACATACCATGATATGACGGATAGATGGATGGTATAGATCAAGACGCAGCTAGGATAAATTAGGGGTTTCTCCTCGTACCTGGCTTGTAGTATGACTTGAGCATAACAATTGAGGAACTTGAGATCGTAGAGCAGTTCTGGAAAGTGTGCTTAAATTGATTCTCCGTAAGTTTGAGACAATAGAGCGACCTTAGCAATTTTGATTAAATCAGCAATTGATTTTACACCTTCAAGATAGCTAAGCCCTCATAAGTCATCAGCAATGACGGAGGGGTTCGGTGAGTATGAACAGGTTCGGGCTTTTACGACTTTGGCCTCTCTAGATAACAAGTAAAGGAAAGTGCCGTGGCCCACGAGTGGGCTTTGAAAGATGCCCGTGGCTAACATCTAATATACGGGAATGGTTGAACAAAAAATACGAATAAGAGATGAACACCGGTGAGAGGGTGTGAGACCGACTCTCACCGAAGCTCCACCACCAAAAAATCCCATCGCGGGGCAATTTCCCGGTGAAGAGTACCCCTCCATGCGTCACCGGAACCCCTCGCTCGGTGAGACCCGCGCTCGGTCAGCAGCCAATGACACGTGCGAATGGCTCTGTGAGTCAGTTGGGCTGGTCCGCAATTTTTTTTTTCGCGGGTGACAACTGCCTCTGCCCGGCGAATCGCAAGACCCCTCCCTCGATCTTTTCCCCCTCCCCTTGTCTTCCCTGCAGCCCAGCCCAGTCATACCCCTCGATGACTAGCGTCGCGCGATTCTTATTCTCTTCTTTTTCTTCCTCTTCACTTCGTTCAGCCCACGTTCAAAC